TAAATACAGAGGTTTATGGGGAGAGCTCTAAATGTTAAAGAAACTCTGCTGGATACATAAAAGCTTAGAAATCATTCAATCTTCAACAAAGTTAATTTTGTTCACGTTTCACAACACATTCTTGTGTTGGAAAGTGATGTATAGATAATATTACACTTGTCAACACTGAATTGTATTGGAAACAGACTTAAGGACCAATGTTTCGGAATTCTGAGTGGATTTTGAGCATTCAAAACCCACGACAATAACTAACTATCAATAATTCAATTGAACAACAAGGTCATCTAATCATCAGATATGACCACAATTTATTTGATAAAAAATATCAAATGCCATCCATTCATTATGCCCTCCCGCCACCCTTCAGCCGGGCAACCTTTTTGTAGGCGCTCAATTGTCTACCTAGAGAGTAAGTACCGCTATATCAAGCAGGTCCTGCACCATTCCCCATGCCCCACGCCATCCACTCTTAATCTCTTTCTTGTAAAAGTAGGTAACTTATGTAAATGTTAACAGACACTGAAAATGAAACAAAGGAAGACAAAAAAAAATCCGACCTACAGCCATATTAAGACCCAAAACCAAAAACCCCAAAATCGAAGCAAAAGCAGTAGGAGGAAAGGGGGCAAAGGGAAAGCCCAGGAAAAACTCAGTGAGTCGAAAGGTATAAAGGATGTTTGGAGTCGTTTCGCCTAACGACACTAATAAAATATTGAACAGGCCATCGATAACCGAAAGGAGTTTGCTGCGGACGTCAACGAACCTTTGGTAGGGTGCGGGGTGGAACGTGTAGGAGTCCTGGGATCCTGGCGAATGCCTGGGAAGGAGAAACGCTTACGTAGATGGCAAAGATGACGATTAAAACAAATTTCCACGACAACCTGGCGCCGTTTAGCCAACGGAAGGAAGCGAAATTGTTAAACGCAAAAGTTGCAAAATGTCAGGGATACATTATGGGCCATGGGGGCAGGAGCAGGAGCAGGAGGCAAAACGGAAGCAAAGACTTTACGAGACACACACACACACACACAGAGACACTCGAGGAGTGTTTGCACCTTGGTACCATAGAAAAGATGTGTGGGGGTCTGAGAATGAAGGAGCCAAGTTGGCAAGTTGCAGACAAGTTTTAAATGAATGAGCATCGGCTTCCGTTCGATGCGTTTCGTAGCTGGCCAATGCCCAGAGCACATTGGGATGTATCTCTGGGATACAGATGTGTGTGCATGTGTGTGTGTGTGTGTGTGTGTGTGTGTGTCCATCCTGTGAAGCATGACAATGGCCAAAAAGGATGCTTGCTCGAGTGGCGACCACTTGCCAATTGCGATTATGGTTTATGTACAGACCCGATAAAGGTCGTCAATGGGTCGCCGCTGCCAACCACACCAGCTATGAATGCCTTGCCTTGCCTTGCCGCCTTGCCGAACAATACGGATGAGCCCCACTTTCAGCAAGGAGCAAGTTTTCCCACTTCGATATCAGTTACTGTTGGAACTTTCTGCTGACCATTCGAGCGCCTTCAATGGCTCAATTATCCTCCACTCTCTCTCTGGACAATGGGCGAAGGATTACTCCTTGTGGCGTCACTCAAGCGCACATATACAACATGTAGATAAATATACACAATAAACACAGTAGATTTGATCCGAGATTCCAAGTGTTATTAGCGTAATTGAGTTTGCCAGCCAATTATCCATGCAATGGGCCGAAAAGAGGGACCCAAATTTAAAGATATTCGCCCTCCCATTTCCGGGCTGAGAGTTGTGTCCTTGAATTTAAATTTTAATGCAATTTCACTCTCTCACTGTGGGTGGATTCAGCTCGGAAATGTGCAACAGTTCTTGAAAATTGCATTTTCTTAATTTATTTGCTATGCAAATTTATTTATTGACTGACGTACCGAATTTCCAGCCACTGTCCTGCCCAATGGCACAGACACAGATGGCGTGGAATCACGTTGCAACATGGATATGCAACACAGACAGGGGCAGAGGCAGGCAGACAGACAGTCGATTGCATTCTTCATAAAGGGAAATCCCCCACCAAACAGCAGGGGGAAAGAGAGAGACATGTCCATGAGCCTGAAGGCTGTGTTGTCTTTTGCAGGGGGTTTGGCTCATAGGTAATCAGGGGTCCCATCATCAGCCAATGCCAGCCATATCCTTTGCATCCTTGGCTTTATTTGGTTTTCGAAATTAGAAATCTAATCTGGTAGTCAATGTGAATGTTTGTATGTATGTATAAGCCAATCAATGGGAATGAAATGCATTTTGTGCATGAAGAGTGGATGGGAAATGCAGGAAGAAATGAGGTTAAAGATCAGGGCAATTGACTGGGCAAGTAACTAGTCGGCAGGACAATTCCTCGCTGTAAAGGTGCCCAAGGACAGATCTCTTTGCGTAGTTAGCAAATGGGAAGTGCATTGGCCTCTACGGTTTGAAAAACATATTGAAGATATCTTATAGTAAGCAATGTGAAGTTCCAACCAATATGATTTATATCATATATCCAAGACCCTTCGTCTTCACTCACAAACATTTTAATTCCTTCATATTTGGAGTTTGTAAACCAAGTACGTGTCAATTTTCACCATATCAGGATTTAAGGTCCCAAATTATTGCATAATCCTGATGTCAGTCTGTATCATTTGTGCCTCGCGTCATGTTCTATCTTTTTCGTTGACTTCGCACCCACACTATCCAACAACGAATAAGAGAAAACAATAAAAACCAAACTGTAAAACAGGAAGTGTAACCACAAAAAAGGGCAACCACAACATGCCCTCCTGCCCCTGCCCCACCGCTCCAGCGGGCAAAAGACAATGCAAGTCAAATTACGTCACGCGACCGAAAAATTGTTCGCCCCACACGCCCCTCTCTCTTATCCCAAGGCTTCCAATTCTCACTCCAAAGCTTCCATTCTCATTCCTACGATTGCTTGCTATCCAAGTGAGCTCTCCCAGTGCCCCTACCTTCCCACTCCCCTCTCTCCCACTCCCTTTCCCACCATACCTTCCCCTCTTACCGACTCCCATCATATATTCTCTTCTCCCACTCTGCTATCTCTGAAACGGTTGCAAAAAATTTACTGTGTGAATTTTGGGCTGCAACCCGCACATGTACGTCCCCACACACACACACACACTCCATACACCATGCACCCAACAGGAGAGAGAGAGAGAGAGAGAGGGAGTGAAGAAAGGATATGTGGCATTGCCAGCCACAATGCCAACCGAAATTGCCAACTTAATTTATGTTCGACGCTAATTAGCGCCATAATTTAATTTCCAATTGGAAAAACGAAACAGAGCCAAAAAAAGCGGTAGAAAGTGGGTGGCAAGAGAATGGCCAGTGGGTGGGCAGGATAAACCGTGGGATTGAAATGAGAACCGAGAACTGGGCTAACCAAGCAGTACTACAAAAAATTTGCCACTGCGCGCCTGTTGCCTCTCAAGTGGAGACACAGATGTCAGATGCACTCTCTTCCACAGACAACACACACACAACAAAAACACACACGGATGCGGTTTTTAGCTGCACTTGCTGTAAACACATTTTTCGGCACTCACTTTTTTGGATACACTACACGAGGGTATGACGAGGGTATGACGAGGGTATGACGATTGTAAGCTGAATTTTGTATTGAAGTTTGCAAAGCACAGAAGAAATCTCATCGGGACCCCAGTGCGCATTTTCGAGTATCCCTTTTTTCGGTATGGTCTTTCCTAGTGTAGTCTTTTTTAGTCCTTAGGACTTAACATCTGAATATAAAAGGAATTTTATTTTGGGTGGATTTCCACATTTCCAATAGGCAAAAGCGTGAATAAGTGTCCCCATTGCATTGAGAATTATATATATGTAGAAGGAAATATTTGACAACACAGTCTGTCTACTTGACTCTACTTCTATAAACATTTTTTTTTTTTAATTTTTCTCAGGGAAGTGACTTGAATATTTATCATATTTAGAATAAAGGGTATCTTTTAGTGGTTACATAGTAAAGGTTTTTTTTTTAATCAGCGCTCTACTGCCACTTCTGCTCTTCCATGCGCACTGCATTAAAAATGTTAAACACTAAAAAAAATGCTTGGCTATCAAAATAAAATCGAATTAAGTGCAGCGCACATATGGATGTGCCCCAAAAAACACACGACACACACTCTCCCCGAAACACATACCGCTTCCCGCGCCCACAGCTTCACAGCATCGCCAAACATCCTCTTAAAGCCCCCCTCTACACCCCACGAAAACTCTGCCCCCACTGACAAATGATGTTGACCGCCCATGGTCATGGATGCTAATTAATCTTGATTTTCAACGGAACTCCAGGCGAAGGAGTGCAAGCAGATACAAGAAGATAGGGAGAGAGGGAGACAGAGGGAGTTAGAGATAGAGCTGGAGAGAACGCTGGAGTGTATATCCTTACGTCAAAGTGACAATTAAATTAATCATGATGGCAAACGATTATGTCAACAGGACACACTGACTCAGACCACCCGCTGCGCAGGCGGGTACGGGGTACGGGATACGATGGAGGGTCAGTTTAGGATGTACGCGTGCATATGGTAGTCACTGTATAAGTATATGGAAGGAAATCCTCTGCCAGTGCAGAAATCTAATTATATCCGACATCAAACTTATAATTAACATTTTGACCGCAGCACAAAATTTTGCAAAAAGTTAAAAAGAAACTAAATAAAAAGTAGAGAAAACAGAAAGTGGGATAAAGGGGGAACAGGCAGCACACACACACACACACACACCGCCAAAGAGACATGCAAGAGACATTTTTAATTAGTTTTGCGGTTGACACACAAACTTAAATTTCAATTTAATGAAGTTTAATGTTAAAGAAAAATGATAAAAAAAATAATACTAAATTTATAGAATTTTCGATTTTAATTCAGTAAAATTAGCATTTTCATGAAATCTGGAATATATTCAAGTAATCTTGTTGTTTTCGATCAACATTTAAGTAAAAACATATGAAAAATTTCATTTAAATTAAAAATTCCAATTTATGCAAAAATCTTTTAGAATTTTTAGATAAATCCCATCAAATTTCAGGTACTCTTCGTTTCCAACAAACTCAATTAGAGTGAAAGAAACATGAAAGATGACTATATTTCTGGGAGTTTTAATGCTTTTACTATTCTTTTGGATTTTGATTGAGGACCCCTAAAATTAAACCAAAATTCAAATTCACGCGCCTAAATTAGCAGACAAGTTGGCAGTACTCATTGAACCAGCAGTTCGCGGTCGTTGCAACTAGTTCATGACACAGCTACCAGACCTCTGTTCATCGCAGGTAAGTGGCAGCGCTTACCTTTTGGACAGGTGATTTCTGCTCGCTTGATTTAATATAATTTAATTTATAAAATATCTAAGTAAGCGTTATCGTATTGATATTGCCGGCACACCATCTCTAGTTTAAGTGCTGTAAAGCATTTGTTTTTAAATCATGTAGAGAATTTCATCCCTGTGTAGTTTCCATGTCTAAAAACGCGTAGTTACCATGTAAGACCAAATTAATTTTGTGTTGACGTTTTTAGCTTAAACCTTATTTTTCAAGCAATCCAATAAAAACGAACATTTAAATTAGCCAATCTGGCAGAAAATTTATTCAATTGCTAAATTAAATTGCATTTTTAGCGCTGAAGTTTCTAGCTAGCTAGTATTAACAAACGGAATATCAAAATCGAAGAAATATCATAAACAAAAAAAAAAGAACGCGTAGTGTAAACGTTTTCTACAGTCAAGTAGTGTAGTACATACATAGGCAGCACGAGGCGGCTAGAGCAGCATTAATAAAAAAAATATAATTTTAAACAAATCACTAAATAAACCAAAACCAGACGACAGACAACATGACGGAAGCCGAACAGGAGGTGGAGGTGAATGGCACCGAGGCGGAGGATGAGGGTCAGGACGAGCAGGACACAAAACAAAAGAAACAAACGCGTCACGACGGCGGTGCCGCGGATCTGGAACGTGTTACGGACTATGCGGAGGAAAAGGAGATCTCTGCAGCAAATATATCCAGTGTACGTATAACCCAGATGTCTATTCTTTTGTCTGGAGAACTAATCCAGCGGTTTCTCTGACCTGCAGGCGGTGGCACAGTTTGGCAACCAGCGCAACAAGGAGAACGAGCTGCGTGTCGCCAAGGAGAAGGAGCTGCAAATGGTCCAAGTGAAAAAGGAAGACATCGAACTGATTGTACGTATATGACGACCGTCTGGACACCCTTTTGCAGAACGAGGGTGTGGGCGTATGCTCAATGCTTAATGGCTTGACATTCTCCCTCTTTTATTTTTTTTAGATGAACGAGCTGCTGGTTAGCAAAGCGCATGCCGAGAAGGTTCTACGGGAGCAGAGCGGCGATGTTGTGGCCGCCCTGGAGGCCATCATAAGCAATTGACGGTGCTACTGGAGTCTGGACCATCTGTTTACCATCTTTTACTTAGCATAACACTGCTTTATTTGTACATTTATAAACTCTTAGTGAAGAAACAAACATAAACAAATGATTTATAAGCGATGTTCTTTTTTTTTTTTTAGATATTGGTTGGATTTGGGGAGATCTAATTGAAAGTGATTCCAAAAATGTTATGGAGAAATGTTATCAAGAGAAAACTAATGGATAGTTCTCTGTGTGGCAGCTACAATTTAAAAATATATAGAACCCAACTTTTCCACCCATCTATAAATAAATATCAATGCAACAATCATTGCAAACAAATATTAATTATATTTAAAACCAAAGAAAACCAATTCTAGCAGTTGTATGGCCATGGAAACACTTTTTATAATGATTTGCTTGAAGTTTTATTCAGAGTATCGCAAAACACTGCCCAATGAATGATTGATAGGATGTGTCCTTAAGAAAAAACCAGTTTACAATTTGTCTATCAATGTTTTTTTTTTGTATGTATATATGTATGTATGCATCATCGTATCATTTGCATTATGCCTAAATATCCGAATTCTAAATAATGAAAAAAACACGCTTATCCATGGATTTTCAGCCTCCCACTTATAGATACTCGTACTCGTTGATACGTGATGTGACTTAATGGCAGTTGCGTTCGCTTCGCTTTCAAACATGCCGCAGGGGGGTTTGGAGGGGTTTAATGGTTCAATGTGGAGGATTGCACTATAATTTATATGTTCAACTGTCGGAGGACGACATCTTCTACCATATATTCTGTACGTTTTTACCATCAAGCCATATAAAAACTCTATTTGATTGGTCGAGGAAGGTAGGAGGATGGTGTGGGTGGGGGGGAGAAAGAAAAGGTGTTTCAGTATATATAAAAATGATAACAATCAAATGATAAAACAATGAAATTCATTTATAACAACTATAAGCAATGGGTGTGTATGGTTGGTGGGGGGGCTGGGGGGACAAAACTACAACCAAAGGTAATGGCTTTTAAAAAGGGGAATTTTCGTGTAGCAGCAACATGTAGCAACTAGATTATGTGATTAAATACTTTTGCAGATTCTCGCATGAAGGCGTATTGATATTCTGCGCTTTGCGATACAGGTCCCGATCGCCAAACGTACGCGCCTTGGCCAGCATAGAGTCACCTGTAAACGGGCAAGACAATCATTAGCTATAGGAGTCAGCTATAGAAGGTGGCCGCTGTTGTACTCACGATAATTCCGTTCACGACTGCAAGAGTGCTTGAGATGATTGACAAAGTCCTCCTCAACAGACTCCTCCAGTCGCGCCACAGAGCCCTGATACTCTGAATAGAAATTCTCCTTGACATAGTAAGGAACCTTAAGGCCGTTCGTCTCACGCTTCACCGAGTATTTACTTGTGAAGAAAATGCAATTAAGATTAGAAAAAAAATCTTCCAGATGGGAATCTCTCTCGGGTACTCACTGCGAGGGCGTCAAGCTGTACATAGGATCAGAGATAAAGAAGGACGACATCATGGACAGGCCAATGAGCAGCAAGATAGGCAACAAATTGATCAAAGCCGATGAATTGTTTCCCTGTAAACACAAAACGATTAGACTTAAGATAAGTCTCTGTTCGCCGTAGCTGGGTTCAAAGGTCACTTCACTCCACGCCACATACCTCGCGATCCTCACGTTGCTGCCGTTGACGCCGCTGCTGTCGCATATAAACATTCTGCTGTGGGAAGCCGCCATTGAAGAACATATTGAACAGCTCCTCGGCACTGATGTCGGCCTGGAAACCGCGCGAATATCCATATTCATTGTAGTACTGTCCATGCCCATGGTTTCCCCCTCCATTATTATGTGTATTGACACTGCTCGTCTCGTTAATGCCATAAAGATCATAATTCTTGCGTTTCTCCGCATCGGTCAGGACGCCAACAGCATTGCCGAGTGCCTTGAAGGCCTCCACGGCGCCAGGGGCCTTGTTCTTGTCGGGATGCAATTGTAGGGCCAACTTTTTGTAGGCCTTCTTGATCTCCGAATCCGTGGCGGTCTTGTTCACACCCAATACCTCGTAATAGTCTTTACATCTGTGCAAATTATTGGAATATGGAAATTAGTACAGAGGGAAACGGAAAAGGGTTTTCTGGGGGGGAACAAACTTTTTGATCTTGCGCACAGCCTCTAGCTGATCGTTGGAGTAGTCTGGAGCGGTGTTACGCGAGTCCGAATTGGTGCGCTTTCTGGGTCCACTGTCCTTCTCATCGGCGGCAGCCGCTGGTCGAGATTTGCCATTGCTGCCGCTGCCAGGTGTGCTCTTCACTCTGGCCAGTAGCTCTAAAAGAGAATATCAACTTAGTAGCTATGGGAAATATGTAATAACTCCCACTGCTTACTCTTTGCATTCTCCGTGGGATAGAGTTTTTCTGCCTTGAGCAGGAACTTTTCTGCCTTGTCGATTTTGCCCTCGGCCAGGGACTGCACCGCGAGATCAATGCAGCGCTGTGCCTCGTCCTTATTGCCCTCCATGTTGGTTATTGGATGTTGCCTCTGGGACAGGTGATGACTTTTTTGGATACTACGTGGTGTTCGAGGCGCCGTTTCGTCAGTAAATACTGGCTTATCACTGTATGCGTAGGGCAGCCCGTATGTGTGTATATATTATGATATATTTCCGGACTACACACAGCCAACACACATCTAACAGGGCCTGCTACTGGTGTTTTTGCTATCAGTTAAGGCGCTGCTCTATTTTTAGTTGTAGCTGCCACTAGTATTGCCCATTTACTTAAGGTCTTCCACTATAATTTAATTGATTTTTACTAGGACAGGATGAAATTTTTCACTAGGGCTGCATGACCATTGATGACACTATCGATCAAATCGATGGTTTTAGAATTGTGCGATAGATCGTTTTGTTCGACAATCTAAATATATCGTTTCTGACAAAAAAATATGATTTCGAAGTCTAAAAGGGTAATTAGCGCACTTTGAGAGGATTTAAAAATAAATTTAAAATGTAATATAGTTCTGTACACATTTTGTACCTATTTTTAAGCGAATTTAAATTTTTTCGGTGGAAATGTCGTTACATCGATGGTTTAAACCATTCGACGGTAAAACTATCGTCGGAACGACAATCGATGGTTTTGCAGCCCTACCCACGAGCACGAATGCGCTGATTCGGGCCTTAATTCCGTCATATTTATTTAGTAAATTGATAAAGTAATAGAAAAAAGTAATGCAATGCTGCATTCAATGAGCTAGCCAAACGGGCCCCAAATACAAGTGAAGTGCAATATAAATAATTAACGGCAAAGGCAGCTGCTGCCCCGTGTGCCCCCTTATTCACGCCGCGTACGCTCTGTGTGGTGTTGCTTTGTGTGCGTGTGCGTGCGTATGTGTGTGTGTGTGTGGTGTTTGGCCTGGAAAAAGTGAAAGAAGCAATAATTTTTTTTCGGCCATATTGTGTGTTGTCATTGCTCGGGTAAAAGTGCATTTTGAATGCAGATGCAACTGTCACACACAGGAAAATATAATACTCGAAATACCCCCCATATATCATTGAGTATATAGTGTTTGTGTGCGCCGACTTATGTAAATCGTGGGAAGAATACTACTATTTACATTCACAAAGAGGTGCGTATTTTCTTTGTGTGTATGATGGGCGGGGGGAGGGGGGTTGGTTGTTATTATTTGATTTATTATTAACTCTAAGAACTATAACTAGACAGAGACATTTGTGGGCGGCTACTTTTTGCGGGATAGACGGACGGGAACACCGCCGTTGGGCATCAGAGGGATCCCATGGACAGAGAACTCGATCTCTCGCTTTTCCTTACGCATCTCCAGGTTGAAATTCGAGAGAACCTTGGCCACTGCAATCTTAACGTTGACTTTTCCCATGCGTAGACCTACAGGAACAGGAAAGTTCTCATTACAGAAAAGAGAATCCTATTAGTGGGTCTCTCGTTCTTACCAATGCAATGACGCGGACCCTCGCCAAAGGGCAAATACGCCGCTGGATTAAAGTTCTTATTCTCATCCAAGTACCTCTCTGGTTGGTAGGCCAATGGATCTGGGAAGTTCTCTGCATCGCGATGCATTCCAATCAATGAAATGATAATGGGCGTACCCTTTTTGATGACCATTTTGCTATCGGGCACTGGATATTCCTGTGTGCATACACGATTCAGCAGGGGCAGGGCAGGATATTTGCGTGCAGTCTCTGCAAAGGAACACAACACTCTCTTTTATAGAAGCACAAACTCTGCCTGCCAAGACTTACCCATTATGCATAGCTCCAGATACTTCATATCCTGTATGGCATCGTAGGTTAGCTTTCCATCGTGCTTCTCCAGCGCACTCTTCACATCCTCCACGGCCTTGGCCATCACCTCTGGATTCTGGGTCAACTCGTAGATGGTAAATGCCGCCGTTGAGGCTGTCGTCTCATAGCCAGCCACAAAGAAAATAAACAGCTGTCCGGCAATAAAATCCTTGGACACTGTTTTCAGTCCTTTGCTGACATTCTCCGCCGACCACATGCCATCGTCGTTGCTAATCTTTCCCGTGTTGCGGAGCTGCAACAGGAGTTGCAAGAGATCGCGTCGCACGATATTTTTCTCTTCCCTGAGATCCACAGTGCGGTGGGAGAGTTCCCTCAATCGTTCAGGTCCCTCCTGGGTCCAACCCAAGCGAACAAAAAGCTTTTCCAATCTACGGATGAAAGAGCTCAGCCAGAAGTTGTGGAATTTCCCAGCATGAGAACTTACCCTGGATACAGGAAGGATGTGGTGCCGCGTAGAATATCCGTAAATTTATTCTGATTGATGGTTTTTGTGATGGCCAGAAATTCATTGTTGGGATCAGCAAAACTATCCACGTCCAGGCCAAAGATAGACGATGCAATGATATCCACAGCATAGCTAAAGGCATAACAGAGGGTAATTAGATCGAAAAAGGGATATTATTCCCCTCTTTTTACTCACGTTAACATCAACGATTTCAGTTCTATCTCCTGACTACCCTCTTGTGGTAGTTTTTCATTCAAATGTGCCACCAGCTTATCGCCAATTGCCTCGGAAGTCGAGAACATGGCCTTCAATTTTCCCGATGTAAACGAAGGCGTTAGCTTTGCCCTCAAATTTCGCCAATTACTCCCCTCCAATGCAAATATAGTGGCCGACATGGGATCGTTCTTCTCATCCACATAGATGCCACGATCATGGAAGCTGGCAAAATCCTTGACCAAAATATCATGCACCAGCTGTGGATCGCGCACCAGCAAGGCAGGACGCAGGGTCAGATACATGCCCAATACGGGCTCCTTTGTGGCCGTGTACATGTCATAGATGGCCATGCCAAAGGATCGTTTGCCCCTGCGCACGGCATCCAAGGCGCCAAAGGGTATGGTGACCCCCGCAGAGGGGAAACCCTGACGATCCCAGTAGCTGAATGTCCATTTGAGATACACAAAAAGCAGGCTGACTGCCGCAACCAGCAAAAGTATTCCAATCATTGTCGGCAGATTCGATTCACTACGTTTCTCTTATAGAAATGATGTGCCTCTCTAGAGCGTTGAAACGATACTGAACTGCTAGATTCCACTGACGATTTATAGTCGTTGGCGACTCGCGGGGAGTGTTTCGTTTCGAGGGCTCAACATTTCGCTTATATTTGTTAAAAGGCTAGATTGTGTTATCTCTAAAAAAAATAATACAAAAACGTTATGGATTACCGATACTAGGGGTAGTATTCCCTTCATCAGTGTGACATGGCATTTTCATCAGTTCAGGAAGAAAACAAACAGTTTTTCCTATCGACTTGCAGGTACGAATACTGAGACAGAATGTTGATAATGACAGAGTAGCCAGCCACTTAAATCGTTTAAATAATCATATATTATACACTTGTATATTCGATGTGTGTTTTAATTGTGGTCGCTGAGTGCAAAAGTAGCCAAGTGACTTGCAATGAAATTCTATTATTAGACACTTATTTTATGGTAGTTTTTCTTGTGTAAATAGTCTAGCCAATTTTAAAGAAAGTTTAGGAGATATTAGGAAATTAAAATTCCTAGTTTACTCATAATTTTTCTTTCATTTCCAGCTTGTGCATGGAAATATATTTAATAAAATTATCTTTTAAGTATTTTTGAATTATCTTTAAAGTAGTATCATCCTTAAAGTATTTGTAGGGGCTTCGGACCCTTAGAATCATGCTGTTTCTGTACTCTTTGTGATACTGTCATAATTCTTGGAAAATGCTTAAGATAAAACATTAAGATAAGCTGTGCGCCCCCCCTCCCCCAGGGGATAAACCCAAGGAAATCCTAGATATAAACTCCTTAAACTCTAAACAGACGAAAAGGGTTCCCTTGGGGCAAAACATAATCCGTAAAAGCTGTTGCAGGTTGGTTATTCGATTAACCTTTAACCGGAATTTGTACGCTTATTTTGTTAGACATAATTTCATGAAATCCAAAACGAATAAAAACTGGTTTTCAACATGCTAATTAAGAAAACGAATTGTTGTGAATAATATACCATATGGGAAGGCACGTTTTGCACCCATATTTAACTAAGAGACGAGTAAGCAAATCTATGTTTGTTCTATAAACTACGTTTACATAGATCAACTCATATGAATCTGTGGAATCTGTAGAGTATATTAAATGGGGGAACCGCTTAGGTCATCGTTTTGACAGTAGAATATGGTTTAACATTGTATTTGCGTAAAATAACAGCCAGCAACAACCTCTTTTGAACAATCTCAACTTGATTTAATGCCATTGAAGCTGTAGAGAGACTTTTGTTTAATCAAATTTAATTTACGAAAGCTCTCCAAAGCTTGCATCAGCTGCCACGCAAATGAATAGCTGGCTACATTTATTAAAATATAACGCTCATATGTGGTGCTATCTACAATATTTTGGTATAGCAATTCCTTACTAAACACACAGAGAAAAAGTTATGAAGTACTATGTTGCTAATAATCCTATAATAATGCATTAAAATGCCTTTTGCTCTAGCAAAAATAGTGCTCGGAAGCCAGGTGTTCAAAGAGCCAAACGACTAGGGCTCTTTTTTTTTATTAATATTTTGGCTTTAATAATGATCAGATCTTAATGTTCGCAATCTAGTAGATGTTATTGGTATATTATATTATTTATTCGGCATCTATTTATTACGTGCCAAAAAGAATTTCGAAATTTGATAAAAATCTGAGTAATACGTATAAAAAAGAATTTTCATTGCCTACAAAATCCATTATCGATTTCTTCTATTGTGAAATTGTGAAACTTTGTTAAACCATGAAAATTTTGTATATTTTAACGAAATTATAAAAAATGGCTTGTCGGTCTATTTTTCTTCTAGATAATAGTTATGGTTAACAAAAAGTTTGATTATGCGGAATTGATAAAGTTTTTGGTTTGGTAAAGTTCTTTCTGCCTGGGAAGTAAAAACAAATTGATAAAACTTTCTTCTTGGGGATATGTGGGTGTTGAATGCTACCTATGCAAAATAAATTGACCTAGGCTTAAGTGGTGTTTTTGGGTGGTTTCCCCCTCTTTGAGAGTGGGTGTTTCTGGGTAGATGCTATAGCCCAAAAACTTTCCACTTGCCACCGCTTTGACCCGTTTTGTTGACTTTCGACGTTTATATGATGGGGCCTGCATGTGTGGAAGAGGAAGCGCCATTGCAGGAAAAAGAGGGAATGGGGGCCTCTCTGTGTCTCGTTAAGGTTGTTAACTTGAGAACTTTTGTGCGCTGTCAAAGGTACTCCTCGTACTCGCATTTGTTGTTGTTTGCCGTTCAGCGGAATGGATGGCAACGACATTGTCATGACGTTGGGGCATGGGCCTG